TCCATACTTACATGTGATGGTAGATATGTATCATGTGCTTGGTTGTAGTTATAGTGATTTATATTCTTTTATCAGGAACCCTGTCACCTTTGGACTGTTAGTAAATATTATCTGCAACAAATTTACTGAATTTCCATGGTACCTTCAAAGATGCTGCTGTGCCAGCTTGTAAGTTCATCCGCATGAGTCCTTTTAAAATCAGGAAGGTCACTGCTTAGTACACTAATAATTCTGGATAACATCTCTATTGCCAATTTCTGAGGTCACAAATTATCCCTGTTCATTTTTCCACTATGTGGTCTTTGTGTTAAGTTCATGCGCACCTATTTTATAATGGCAGGAAAGTTGGCGTTGAAAGATTTTTTTGATAAAATGGCATCCGAAGAGACTAGTTGGTACGGTTATCTGCAACTGGTGCGCTATTCGTTACTTACATTCATGAAGTGCTGAGTGGCTCTGGGGAACTTGGTAATTGCCACCACTAGAAGGGTAGCAAATGTTCTAGTTATAGAAGGTGCTGATGTTCATATTTGGCTTTCTGCTACTTATGAAAGTTATAACACCATTACCCGAGGAAAAAGCACATGTTGGGGATATATTTAACATATATTTGTAATAAGATAATCCTATATGTAATCTATTTCAAAAAATCTCCTCTTCCTATATTTCTTTTGCCATTAAATGTCTTGCGAAAGTTGTTTCGTGCTCAGAATAATTCAGAATTTTATAGGCATTGGGATTCATTATATTGATGTGTAGTATCATCATGATCAGGATACAGAAATTTTTACTAGTGAGCAAAACGATGCCACTTAGTCTTGTTGATCAAGTTGAAGTTTACATGGTCAACTTGTTTAAAACCATAAATTTTACCATTGTTTTGTGGTGCATGCTATATTAGCTTGGGAGAATTAGTGTCATTCTGTAGTTTTATTATTCTAACTCAGACAGCTTAACTATTTGATGTCCAGAGCAGTGGCTTTATTTTTGTCAGATTTGTAAGCTACTGATCCTTTGAACTTTAGTTATTTACTTAGCAAAATCAATGGTGTATACATCGAATGATGAAAAAAGAAGTAAATTACAATTCTACTGGTTCTATTTTATTGTAATTTAAATTGTCATTTACTTTTGAAAACTTTAGTTTTATGGCTTTGTATGTTTGTTAAATAACCCAAATGTGAATTGTATGTTGCCTTATTTTTGAAAAAAAAAAATAATAATAATTCAAGTCTAACAATAAAATTGTAATAATAATAGTAACAATTATCAGGTAACATCTTGGATCAGAATTGTACTATATTTTCTTGACCCAAATCTCGAAAACCAGAATTATTTCAAGCATAAGTCTGATGTTACTCGGACAACGAGTGATGAAGAAGAAGAGGGTGGGTTGGCCTGAGCAGCCATGGCAAGCTCAAAATGCTTCAAGGATAGAGGAACGATGTTCAGAGCATTTAGGTTTTCCCAGCCATTTGAGCCGTTGATGGTGGTGGTGCCGTCTGCTCCAATGTGTGTGAGATGCTTCACGTCTGTTGGAAACCCTATCTCCATCTCTTCTTTCTTGTAAACTATTCCAAACATTTTACAAATTATCACTTTAAACAAATCATATAAAAAAATTAAAAATTTACAAATAAATAGTGGGCATAAAAATATGAAGCTTTGGATTTACTTAAAACAGAAAAAAAGAAAAACATATTATCTACTTACAGGGTAATTGAGGAAATGTCTTGATGCTTCTAATCAATCTGTGAATCCCACTTGACAAATTCAACTTTGGGAAAGACAGGTAACTTAGATAGTGTTTGATCCTTTCTTTACTTGATGAGCTTTTCCTTCCTTCTTTTCTTCCTTGTAAATAGAAAAATATAAACAAAATTCATTCCAAAATTTCTATTTTAGAAAAAGTACAATATACCCATGTGCATACATATATGCAACACATGTGCCCTATATGTATGTATGTATATATATATATATATATAGAGAGAGAGAGAGAGAGGGAGAGAGATCATACTTGTTATATGTTGGGTTGATTCTTTGTTTGGTTTCTTGGATTGAGCTGTGCCCACAAGAACACTTGAGTGAGATTTGCAACCTATGGAGAAACTTGGAAGGAGAACAAACTTCTCCATACTCTCTCTCATGACTCCTATAGCACATTCGTAAACAGGAAACTAATATATATATATACATATGCAAAAGGCTTGCTGTCAATAAAATGGAAAGCAAAGCTAAAGATATTGGTTGCCTTTGTAAACAAGGTAGGATTTTAATCATATATGTTTACTTCAACTTTTCGTGAGTTGAAAATGAAATTTGTAAAATTCATCCAACCAACATATATGGATGTATATTATTAATTAAGTATAAATGGGTTTGGTTTGGAGTTGTTTAATTGGTTGGTTAAACCATGCAACTCAGACCTAATTTTTTTATTTATTTTATTTTCCTTTCTTTTTTTAAAGGGTTAGGAAATTTTTCTTTAATTTTTTTTTATTAATTTAATCTTAATATTAGTACTCACGATTCTTAATATAATTAATAAATCTAATCTCACTCGAAAAAAAATAATACTAAAAAATTTATTAACAATACAATTCAAAGGTGTTTAATACTATAATCACATAACATTATGTTATAAAGTTAAATTAACAAAAAGGCAAAAACAAATCATTTTGTCACCTTTACTTAATTTAAGTTTTTGGTCTTTGAAAGTTGTGGGTTTGAATAATAGAGTGAATTTCAAGGGTTTGGATTTCCCAATGGAATTCTGAAACGTGGTTTTCTTAATTTCCAAGAGGTGTAAAAAATGAGAAAATCCTTGGAGTGAAGGTAGTGTAGAGATTCATTTACATTTCAAGAAAGTGCATAAATATCCAATATATATATATGTAATTCTTGTTTTAATTATCATAATTTTATTAAATTAAATATTATAGTTCGGTATAATAACTTAATAAATTTTAAAATTATAATTTCAAATAATAAACAAGAATTTTAACAAATAAAACATTTTATTGTTAGATTCAAAATCTTATTTCTTAGTGTAAGTGGAATATATTCTACAAAATATTGGTTGATTCAAAGATAGCTTTTATCTTTTTCTCACTAAGAATCAATTATCAAGCACTAAAAGATTACTATAATTACATATTTAATTTAATTTAATTTAATCATACTTTTCAATATTAAATGATTCTATTACCGTTTACCAACAAGTTGAGATGTTAACGTGGTTGTATGTATGTATGTATGTACATATTACAATACAAACAAATTTTCTCTTCGGTCCTGTCGGTTTTTATTTTATTGTAAATAGTAATTTTTGTAATAGTTTATTATCAAGTGGTTATGAGTATAATTTACTTTGAAAATAATTTAATAAAACAATTTATTTTTATTTTAATTAATTAATAGTATTATTAAAAAATAAATATAATATTATTATTAATTTATGAATTTAATTAATTAAAATTATTTTTTAAAGAATTTTTTCTTAAATTGTATAATTATTTTATTTTTCTTAATAAGAAATAAAAAATAAATAGATAATATTAAGAATTAAATTGTAACAAAAAAAAATTCAAAATTATATTATAAAAATTTCAAAATTTAAGAATTAATTTGATAATTTATAATAATTTATTTTTATTTTCAATTTAATTTTTAAAAGGTTTTATCTGATATAATAACGAGTAAAGAAATTAATTTACATTTTAATTATAAAAAAAAAAAAAAAAAAGTATTAGGGCCGTTATGTCATTGCTCTTCGGAAGTGGCCTGAGAATTGATCATCTTCTGCTTATCCACTTCCCCAGACGACCACTCTGAAAACCCCATATTCATCCCTGCAACCTGATTACCTTCCAGGTATTTACAGATTTTACTCCTCCGACTTCTGAATTCTGATCAACCTTTCGTCACCATGGTAGTTTCATACTTTTTTTTTTTTTTCTTGTGTTATATAACTTATCTGTTCATGAACATGATTATTTCTGTCAGGTTTTCTTTCTTATTTTGGGTACGGGTCGTGACCCGAAAAAGTGCAGAGACTGCTTCCCTTTTCCCTTACAATTGCCAAAGCACGGAACCAACGCATAAAACTCCCCTCTTTCTCTGACAATTTCTCCATCGATTACACCAGATTACAGAAATGTCCACTTCGCTTCTCCTCTCAAATCACTTTTCTCCTATTTCTTCCTCTCATAGCTTCGTTAACCAACGAAAACGTCTAAAACCCGCCGTATTTGTTCGTCTCCATCACCCAACAAAGCTCATCAGCTCGAATTTTCTGGGAACATTCAGTTTTCGTTCGAATTCTTTTTCATCTGCTCGCCGGAGAATCCTTGCCTTCAGTTCACTCGGGGACGTCGGCGGAGAGAGTCCGGTCTCTGAGGAGACCGAGCTAGTAGGGGAGGACTCTGCGGCGTTCGAGTTGGGGAAGCAGAAGATTACTTCATGGGTTTATTTTAGCATTGTTTTGGGAGTTGTTCTGTATATTCTTGATGTGGTTTGGATTGATAACTCTACTGGGTTTGGAAAGGCGTACATTGATGCCGTCTCTACTCTCTCTCAGAGCTCTGAGGTAATAGAAAGAATTTTGTTTTTTGGATTCAAAGATTGTATTTGTGATTTCATTTTCGGTTTATGTTTGTGCTTAAATTGTGTTTGGCTACTGAGAAACTCTTTCACTCTATCCGGTATGTTAATATTTTTTTCCATGTATAGTTGAGATAAGATTTTATTTTTAGGAAAGGAAGCTCTGGCAACCTTGGAAAATAAGAAAATAGAACCATGGAATATTACAGGAAACTCAAGATTATTACTAGCAATACTTTTGAAGAGAAATAGTTTTCACAGTATTACTTATAAATGATACTGAGAGCTTGTACTTACAGTAACACTATTTACTGTTATATTGTTTCAAATTCTTCCGATCCTCTCTTGCAAATAAAGGGTTTGTTACTGCAATAGGATGCTTGTAGCTTTATGGTTCAGTTCACTTTTGCATTGGAGTACTAACATTAGCCGTTATTGTATGACTTTGGGTATTCAAATATGATTGTTGATTTACCTGAGTTCATTTCTGGACTAACTTTTTATAGGGCTCTTATGATCTGAAGTAACACATTTATAATTCTGTTGAATGTTCACCTTTTCTCAGTTAAACTGAGGATAATTTCCGAATGAGTTCTTCAAAAATAATTTCTTTGTTCTCAAAGATGGGTAATGTTGTCGTACCTGCACCATAAGTAGGAGGGTAAGAAATGAAATGAAAGTCACTCTAATATAGGTGGTCGTAGGTGTACAATTCTTTGTGAGGTTTTTCTACCGCTTTGTTATCAATTTGAAAAAGAGTTGTTAATTTCAGTTTATTTCATTAGACTCTCGAACATCTTCTGACATTTGTTGTAGTTCATAGCTCTTTTGTACTTTTGAGAGCTGCCCTTGGTTTTAGCTAACTCTATTGTACTGTTTCTATAAACTAAACCTCATACATTCATCTGCAGGTTGTTATGTTGATCCTCATTCTCATTTTTGCCACTGTGCACAGTGGCTTGGCAAGTGTCCGAGACATTGGCGAGAAACTTATCGGAGAACGTGCATTCCGTGTTTTGTTTGCAGGAATATCTTTTCCATTGGCTGTTAGCACTGTTGTGAGTTCCCTAACACTGAACAACAAAAGTCTCTTCATGAAAGTTAGCTTTTTACTGCAGTTTCTTTTCAAAATTTGAGTCTCTGCGGCAGGTTTATTTAACTATGGCCGACTTTATGTTTGTCATGTTTCAGGTTTACTTTATAAACCACAGATATGATGGAGTGCAGTTATGGCAGCTCCAAAGTGTTCCTGGGATGCACGAAATTGTGTGGATTTCAAATTTTATATCCTTCTTTTTCCTTTATCCTTCTACCTTTAATCTACTGGAGGTAGCAGCTGTCGACAAGCCAAAGATGCATCTTTGGGAAACTGGAATCATGAGAATCACCCGGCATCCACAGGTATAACATTCATCCTTTTCATTTCATTGTCTACCTTGTTAATAGGGAAAGAAGGAAATATTAATAACTAAGCACTTCGAAATATGCTTCATAAAAAAAATTCTCCAAAAAACACCTATTCTCCTTGAGGGAAAAGGAAAAAAAATTCCCAGATACATGACTACCAGCTATTCTCTTTTTTCTTTTCATTTAACACTTGAAGAACAACCTATTTACTGCCAAGTTTCACAGGAAGGCCACCAATTTACTGAAAAAGAAAGGACAAAAGAAAACAAAGCCAATCTTTATGTTCCCTTGACTAAAAATGTGTATCCAGTACTACTTCCCTAATCACCTTCTTTAATCTCAATCAACCAAAACCTTCCTACTGAACTTATAGTGTAACGTCCCCGGAAAATATTAAAATGAAATGAGTATTTAAATATATCGAATGCGGAAGCGAGATCAAAATTTCAGTTAACATCCCTTACACGAAAAACCAAAAAAACGTACTTAAAATATAAAAGGTTAAACTAACTAAGAAAGAAAACTCGAAAATAAACTATGCGTATGACTACAGAGTCTCTAGGCATCCCCTTCGTCGTCCTCCTGCGGAACGGGCTCGGGAACCATGTCTTCCTGATCTGAAATGGTTAATTAAGGAGTGAGCTACACTAGCCCAGTAAGAACATCACGATATCTCACCGTCACGGAGGTAAAGGTGGGTAGAAAAACACAAAAAGACCAATGGAGCATAATTTACAATAAACTCGTTTATTAACATGAAAACCTTTACCATCCACTTACCTCGGTGGAATTTATGAAAACAATATAAGAAAAATAATAACATTATCACAATCATGGAATAATATAAGCTGTAAAACATAGCACTTATCACGCCTTTTGTAATTCAATCATTATACAACATATCATTTTCTCATTTACCAGCCTACTAGTATCCATGGGGGTCCCTAGGGGTCCCGCTACCCGTTAACCTTTAACATTCATAATCAGTTTTCAGGGCCGTCCCCATACCCCGTCCGGTATGGGCGCCAAAACCATGAACCTCAATACCCCGTCCGGTATGAGGGTGAAACGGGCCGTCCCCATACCCCGTCCGGTATGGGCGCCAAAACCATAAACCTCAATACCCCGTCCGGTATGAGGGTGAAACGGGCCGTCCCCATACCCCGTCCGGTATGGGCGCCAAAACCATAAGATCTCCATACCCCGTCCGGCATGTGAGACCACAATCCCGGTAGGGTTCCCTACGGACCCGGTCCGTCCACCATCTCCCAGGATATCTAGTCAGGCTGACCCCATCATACAATTATCAGTCTATACAATGTTTCATTTCACTTTTCCTCAATAAGCATCATCAATTCACATTTAAACAAGCAAATCATAATTCATGCCGAACAGACAACATACAGTATCACTTCTTCAGTCATTCAACCCATAATTAATAAAACAGTAATATATGCATTCGAAACTATAAAATGAACACATCAAACCTCATAATGCATTTAATGCTGTAAAACAGGCCAAATAACAGTAAATCATAAATCACACTAGACTCGGGCTCCATTAGCAACCTTAAGCAATTTCACACATGCGTTAATTCAAGAAATACCGTTTTATTATTTTGAACTTTAATACCGTGATAGGAAATAGGGTGAGGGGTCCTTACCTGTTTTCGGGATCCGAATACGATTCACAGTGCGCCTGCAGGCTGTCCCTAATTTTCCCTGAATTTTTTTCTTTTCCGGGAAACTGAAACACACTAACAGTACCTGCACGTGTTCCAAAAAAAATCCAAATTAGGCCCAGGGCCTCCTTCGGCCCAAATCGCAACTCCGGCACGGCGGCTCCGCCGTGCTCCGGCGACGGCGCCGCCGCTGGCGGCGGCGAGTCGCCTCGGGTTGACTGTTTTCGGCCGTTTTCGGCCGAATTCGGCCACACTCGCATTGGTCCTTGTCAGAAAACAACCCTAGGGCCCTCGGGGGGCCAAAAAATCACGGAAAAACGGAGCTTACCGGCGGCGGCGCTCTCGGGTGCAGCGGCTCTCCGGCGAGGTTCGTGTTTTGGTGATTCGGCTCCGGTCAACCTGTAGAGAAAAGAATGGTGATCACGGTGATATAAAAATTGCATCGAACGGAGGCCGGGAAGGGCCTCGTCGGAGGCAAAAACCGAGAGGGGGCGCGGCGGCGCCGCTGGGCTTCGGCCGCGTATTCCGGCCGTTTGGCCGGGATTTCGGTTTCGATTTGGCCATAGGAGGAATCAGTGGGGAAAAACGAGTCGGGGGTATGAAATTTACCTCGATCGGCGGTCGGAAATTTCCCCGGTGCGGCGGCGAGTGGCGGCGGGTGGCGGCGGTCGGTCTCTGGTTCGTCTTCTCCGGCGAGCGGCTGGCGGCTAGGGTTTGTGGTCTGGTGTGGGGGTTCTATTTATAACCCCTTGCCTTTTGATCACAGCCGTTCATTTTGTTTTAATCTGGGCCGTTCGTTTTTGATTGAATCTGGGCCGTCCGTGCGCGTGATTGATCTGGGCCGTCGGATCGCACCCACGCGGATCGCCAACGTGGCTCCTTTTGGAGTGACGCGGTCTTGCCACGTGGCAGGCCCTGGTTGGCCGGGTGCTGACCGGGCTTGCTGACGTGGCTGCTGACGTGGCCTTCCCTTTTTTTTTTTTTTTTTTTTTTTTTTTTTTTTTTTCCGGGTGCTACATATAGAAACTAATGCAAGACTTCAGGTTGAAAATTATCTAATGTTGGAAGAGTGTGCATAAATGGAGATCTGTTAGGAACTCTTGGATATATTGAAGTTCTTAATTGAATTTTAGCTTTAGAAAGAATCTTGATTGCAAATTGTGAGCGTTAAAGATTTACCATATTAATTGATTCGGCCTCTTTCTTTAGATTCAATTTCACAATCAGTTATCATATTAATCATCCATCATATATGAGTGTTTATTTACTGCTTGATTATATGGTTCCTAGGAAGAAAGGCATGGTCACTGCAGAAACTTGGAAGTGTGAGGCTTTGTTCAGTTCATAAAAGGATTTTTAGTTTTGATTTCTTAAATTAATGTGTTTATGCATATTTTGGTCCAAAAGCATGTGTTGGGCGTGTCGGTGGCATGAGTTTGTCAGGAAATGAAAACTAGAAACTGTTCTAATATAGCAAAGGGAGAGTTCTCGTCCATGTTAAAGTTGATCAACAATGACTAAGTTACAATGACCAAGTATCAAAATTTCCTTAGGCTACGTACTCGTGATGCAATCATGTTATTTCCTCGAATTTCAACACACTTTTTGCTTTGCATTTCTTTCTTTCTCCCCTCTCTTTTAGCAAGCCAATCCATCCTTTTCTCTTTCTTTTTCAGATGGTTGGGCAGGTGATCTGGTGCTTGGCTCATATGGCCTGGATTGGCAACTCTGTAGCAGTTGCGGCTTCTCTTGGTTTGATTGGACACCATTTATACGGGGTTTGGAATGGAGACAGACGATTAGCAATACGTTACGGAGAGAATTTCGAAGTTCTTAAGAGCCGGACAAGCATAATTCCTTTTGCAGCGATTCTCGAAAGCCGGCAGAAGCTGCCTAAGAATTATTACAAGGAATTCATCCGGTTGCCGTATCTGGTTGTCACTGCCATGACACTGGGTGCCTATTTTGCTCACCCACTTATGCAGGCAGCCAGTTACCGGCTTCATTGGTAGTAGGTAAAAATCAATATACAGACTTAATTCTGGTGTATATGACAAAGATTTCTGGTGATATAAAACATGTTATCATTGTATCCAAAGGCAAAGTTCTTGACTTTTTATAATTCAATTTGCACATTTTCATGTGATATATAATATGGTTTTAAACGCATTTTCAAGGTGACATGTATATGTATATGCTTATTATGCATAAATTAAATTGTAATTCTTAGAAAATAATAAAAATTAATTTGTAACTATATCCAAAATTAAACAAATATGTATTAATTTTCCCTTATTTAATATAATAAATAGAGATAGTCAATTGTGAAAATTTTATTATGTTTTTGCTTTTTATGAAAAATTCACCGACTTGGAATTTCCATTAGTTATTACATTTACTTTTTAATTCTATATAATTTCAGGAATTTGATAAAATGCTAGTTGAAAATTAACATGACTATGGAGATGTATGTGTGTCTATGTATTTATAAATGCTAAAGCCCATAGAACATTGCAATATACATACCATATTTATAATACATACAAGGATTATTTATATATATATATATATATTATATGTTTACTGAAAAAAAGTATATATATGTTATGGTGAGGAAATATTTTGGGTTTACACGGAGTTTCAAAT